ATTTTAGATACCGTAACATTCTTTCAGGCGCCAAACAAGGGGAAGTCAAAGTAGAAATTTCTGGATTACATGCAATATTTTTATTGGTAGTTATCTCTCTTTCTATCTTTCACACACACACACACACATACGATTTTCTTTTCCGTTTTTCTCTCTCTCTCTCTCTTGTGTGTGAAAAGTCATCAATTCGTCACACAGGGAGCATTTGTAAAAAAAAAAAAACAGTGGATAAAAAACAACTTAAGGTATATTTGTGTTTTAAAACGTTTCATCGCTTGATCAACCTTTCAACGAAATTTAAAAAACAAAACCAAATTGTTAAAATTCACTAGTTTGCTAACATTACAATTCATACTATGTTTTTACAATGTCTTTATCTTGTTAACTCGAAACAAAACTTCTACTTTTCCAGTTCTTTTAGTCTGTTATTCCCTTCCTTTGCCAAGCCTCGCCAATAAATTCTGATATTATCTCTTGTTCTTGTCATCGCTCTCAGAGCTTACGAACGTAAGGTCGTGTAGAGATTTACTCCATCTGCAAACACCATTATGTACTAAAGCCATATCCTAGTTTACTAATTATATAAGCTTAAATCTTTCATTTTATAGTTACAATAAAAAAGAATAAGAGCTTAAAAAAATAGAGTCCAAGTATATAATCCCAAACTACTCTAAGCGATAGTTTAAAGAAAAACGTCATTTAGTGATGCAATAACTTCTTCATTAAGACCATTAAGTTTACAAGCTCTTAGCATTAAAACAACAGCTAAACAACCAGTAGATAAATCTTTTGAAATAACAATAAACAATGTTAATAAAAACAGAATGTTTTGTGCCTATATGTTGGCTTCCCCCTTTTTTTTATGGGGAAAATAATGTACTTCTGAAATAATACTTCTTATTAAGTGGTAGAGACAGTTATATAGGTAATAGGAATTTCTACTAAAAACACAAATATAATGACGATAAAATCTCTTTAGGTTATCATCAGCTTAAAAATGAGGGTTGAAAAACAGACTGCTTGGAGCAATTACAAATTGAGATGACTTTGTTTATTTCTATAGCAAAACTGCACCCTGAGTAATCGAACCTCCGACTGTAGCATTGTAAGTCCAAAAGCTAAGCTTGACCTACTGAGAAACTTTGAGATTATACCTCGTGACTCGAGAACAACAGTGATGATATGACATTGTTGACTTAACGTGGAGACGGAGAATAAGAAATTGGTTCGGTCTGTTTTGAATTGGGAAAGCGGCAAATCTTCGGGTTTACAACGCAAAAATCAGGGATTCGATTCCCCTCGGTGGACACAGCAGATAGCCCAATGGCAAAGCTACTCGAGGGCTATCTGCGCTGGCCGTCCATAATTTAGCAGTGAAAGACTAAAGGGAAGGCAGCTAGTCATCAGCATCAACCGCCAACTATTGGGTTACTCTTTTACCAACGAATAGTGGGATTGAATGTCATATTATAACGCCCCCACGGCTGAAAGGGCGAGCATGTTTGGTGAGACGGAATTCGAACCCGCTACCTTCAGATTGCAAGTCAAGCACCCTAACCACCTGGCCATGCCGAGTCACCAACATGGCATACTGCACCAAATTATTATTCATTACTCTCAATAATACATTTAAGGTCTAATTCAGATGAGTGGGCTGAAACAAAAACCAGAAATTTACAGTTTCTTTTCTAACCAGAGAACGTCAACAAAGCTTTAAATAGCTAAAAAATAAAACAAGAAGGAAATTAAAAAAAATTAAACGAAATTTATGGATATTCTTTGGACTAAAGAGAACTAAGAAAAGAAAAACGTGCTCTAAATGTGAAAGGCAGAAAAAATTGAAATGTTGAACAAACACAAAGAAGACTCGAACCCCTGCATTATTAATGTAAATTGAGTTTAAAAAAGTGTTACATTTCTCTAAAGCGTACGAAAAATAGTTACTGATACCCATTAACTAGGTACCTAAAGTTAGCATTACTTTTTATTTAGTTTTTACAAATCTAAATCACATAAATACATATGCATATTTTTGTCATGTTAGGATAAACATTGCGGTCGTTATACCCTTACAAACCACCTGGAGAAAGCAAATATTTTTCAAAGCTTCACAATAATAATAAATTCTTCTACCATTTATGTTTATATATAAACAAGCAAGGTTTCAACATTCACGAGTACACAAAAGAAACTCCGTAAAAATAGTATATTTTTTAAATCATAATCGACTTAGAAACTGATTTTTTTATATCTTTTAAAATGCCGTAAAACAAATTAAAAATAAATAAGAACGACACTCACTCTCTAAGAAAATATACACGGCAATTTGTAATGTCAAAAAAAGTTAAATTACTATGACAGGTGGTATTGTAATTATTTTATACTTAAAATAATTAAAACGAAATTGTTTCAGTACTAGTGTGAAGACTAAAACAAAGTCTCAAGTACAATAAATACTGGACATACAAAGACATTCTGCAAAATATATTTTAGCGCACAAACGTGAATATCAGACTTCGTTTTCTATTCATTGTGTCTGGAAAGAGCAACATATAAAATCTTCCCAAATCTACATAAGACACAAACACACACAAAAATTATCCACAACTGTACTGCATTTGTAAGCAAACTTTATGTTTTTATAAGGTTTGAATTACTACTTTATGAAACAACTATTGCATAGCTGTCTTTATATTTTCTGATGTTCAGTTATGTAAATAAAACAAAATAATTTGAGTAATCGTTTAAGGTTGTATTCATAATTTCTTTAAGCTACTCGGTATTTTTAGACACTAAGATCATATTACAACCTACCAACAAATTCTGTGTGAATGTTTTCTTGTTTCAGCTGTTATATGTGGAATATGTAATATAAATATATAAATAGCAGGAATTTCTGAAATTATTAGATAAGTTCATCATACCTTCTGCAGATGGCGGGTCGGAAGGTTTTGAGCGAACTGTGACACTGGCTGGTTTGCTCAAGTCCGTTCCAGTTCTCCATACCATTACCTCAACGTGACCATCACTTTCGTCCACGTAATATTCAGACTCACCAAAGTAGAAAAATGGAACTGGAAGAAAATAGTGTATTTTTCTTTTTGTTATATTTGGTTGAAGATTATTGTTAACTGTTTAAAAAAATTATGTAAAACTGAATTGAAAAAATTACCAACTGATTATTTTTTCTTGTGTTTAAAACATAAACAATCACTTGTGATTTTTGAGGTTACTAGAGAAGCTGAACACTAATATGTGGTTTAAAACTAAGGTAAAAACAACGATTCTGGAAACACTCTTATCTATAATAGTTTAACATAAATATCTAGTGCATATATGTAACTGATTTGGAATAAATATTTAGCTGGAAATTATTTTATTCTTAGTTTATTAATAAGTTCCTTAGTTTCAAAATTTCGCTCAAACCTACACAATGGTTATTTGAGTATATCCGCCACAAATCTTGAACTGATTGAAGGAAGGCAGATAGTTAACAGCATCTATCACCAAATTTTTGGCTAGACTTGTCTGAAAGAATAAGCATGTTTGGTGACGAGACTCGTACCCGTGACCTGCAGATTGCGAGTTCCTTAATGAGCATGTCATACCAGGCGTATTAAAAAATAGAAGTGGAATAATAGTCTTGATATGAATTCAACAGTCATTGCGTTTTATATTTTTACAGAATATTGTGTGATAAAGAAACAACTTTTGATAGTGTTCTTGGCAGCTTGTTCTTGTGTTATTAAATATTGTTTTATGTGTTTTGTTATTGGAAAATAAAAACTGGATTTTGAACGATAAATATTGAATGCGTTATTAAATATTGTTTTATGTGTTTTGTTATTGGAAAATAAAAACTGGATTTTGAACGATAAATATTGAATGCGTTATTAAATATTGTTTTATGTATTTTGTTATTGGAAAATAAAAACTGGATTTTGAACGATAAATATTGAATGTGTTATTAAATATTATTTTATGTGTTTTTGTTATTTTCATCATACCATCGTTTTTGTCGGAAGAAATGATGATTTTTGTTTCATTCTGTGTCCCCACTCTGCCACCCATTGGCTGGGACAATCTGATTTTGAAAGACTCGTCATCCTCGTAGAGAGAGTCATCTATGATTACCAAGCGGCAGAACTTCTGTTCTTCTCCCTGGTTAAATCTGATCAGACTTTTGTGGCTCTCAGGACGGCTGATGAAGTCTGAGAACGATCGAATAGACGTCGGAATCGTTCCTGTCGCGGAACCTGAAATATAAAGAAACATTCATATTTTTCTAACTTAAATTAAAACAAATATGTATATGTGTTGCTAATATACTGGCATTTAATTTTTTTTAATTGGCTTGAAAACGCCCTCCATTTGATACCAGATATAAAAAGCTAAATTGTCTCTTACCTGCTTCTGCAGAGCAGATCACCATCATTTCCTTGCTAAGATCACCCTTTCTCTGCACGGGGACTAAGACTTCTCCGACATCTTCCCTTACCACGTATTCCTGTTCAGGAAATTCTACTGTCGACACTAAAATTAAGAAAATAAAGTAGAGATTGCTTTCTTTTTTATTATTAATACAAACCAAAGAAAAAGAAAAAAATGGCGGGAAATATATTTATCATAATATAAATTGTCACGTTATTCATGCCCAAGAACTGAAAAATTATTCATGTATACAGATGCTTTGTATACTAAGCCTACAAAGGATTAAACAGTGAAACTTGTTAAAACCTCACCATCTTCGCTGTCCACAATGATGATTACAGCCTTATCAGGGTACTCAATGGCAGCCATCACGGGCTCCTCCAATACAATCTCGAATTCTTCGTCGCTTTCAAACAGGTTGTCATTTATGATTCGAAGCCTCCAGTGAGCTTCCGTTTGTCCAGGACTGAACTGGACTTGTTTGGCATAATGTTTAGCAAAATCCTCCCCTTGCTTGGCTGTAATGTTCTTTGTTTTGATACCTGTAATCCATACACAGAATAAAAAATAACATTTTTCATTATCTACCTTTTATGTGTGATGCTATATTTTTTTGTCGTTGATCTAGTTTTCTGAAAGGTACATTAAAATATCCTCAAATATAATACGTTTCTTTGTTATACAATACTTATATATATACAAAACTTTTCCCTTCTGCTGTTGTTGTTTTCTTAGTACAAAGCCAAACGATGAGATATTTGCACTTTGTTCACTACGGCGACTCGATCCCCGGTTTTAGCACTGTAAATCTATTAACTCAACGATGACCCAACGGGAGATTTATTATCAGAGACCTAACGCAAGTAAATAGATACCGAAGTTTGTAAGTAAACCAGTTTAGTATAGTACTATGTAGTGATGTATAAGTAAGGTTAATATTTTGGTACCATACATAGGGCTGGTGATGTATGAGTAAGGTTAATACTTTGGAACCATACATAGGGCTGGTGATGTATGAGTAAGGTTAATACGTTGGTACCATACATAGGGCTGGTGATGTATGAGTAAGGTTAATACTTTGGTTCCATACATAGGGCTAGTGATGTATGAGTAAGGTTAATACTTTGGTACCATACACAGGTCTGGTGATGTATGAATAAGGTTAATACTTTGGTACCATACATAGGGCTGGTGATGTACGAGTAAGGTTAATACTTTGGTACCATACATAGGGCTGGTGATGTATGAGTAAGGTTAATACTTTGGTACCATATAGAGGGCTGGTGATGTACGAGTAAGGTTAATACTTTGGTACCATACATAGGGCTGGTGATGTATGAGTAAGGTTAATACTTTGGTACCATACATAGGGCTGGTGATGTACGAGTAAGGTTAATACTTTGGTACCATACATAGGGCTGGTGATGTATGAGTAAGGTTAATACTTTGGAACCATACATAGAGCTGGTGATGTATGAGTAAGGTTAATACTTTGGTACCATACATAGGGCTGGTGATGTATAAATAAGGTTAATACTTTGGTACCATACATAGAGCTGGTGATGTATGAGTAAGGTTAATACTTTGTGCTACAGCCCTTTGCCATACACAGAAAACCAACACGTTCACACATTATGAGACAAGATCAACAGTCCTGGTCTGCGGGACTGCTGTCCATTCCCGACACAATATCTGTTTTAAGAAAGCTCAGAAAATTGATTTACTGGGATACTTTAGTTTGGATCGGTCGAAGATATTCCCTGGTTCTCTTTTCATCTCAGAGAATGTCTATTTATTTACATCAAGTTCTTCATACATACATATATCTATATTTACATGTATATTACTCCATTTAAAAAAAAACAAAGAGTTATTAAGTACAATGTCTCGTTTGTTAACCATTACTACACCCTAATCTCGATAAGCCGATCAGCTCTGTCATACATTTAAAAGTGTAAAAACCTAGGACTAATTTTAAAAAACCGTTATTTACTATTTCTACGTTGAATTACTTATGAACCAAATTCGCGATGTAATGTTGTATCTCTTTACCCTTTGGATATCAACGACACGTCCCAATAAGTTGGGCTTATGAACCGATTAGCTGAATGAACTTTTGAAACTTGAACTCAATAAAAATTAAAGACACATTGGTTCACAGATAGCAAGTAATTATTTATCTACAGGAGCACCAAACAACGATGTCACGATGTGGTTGTGGATTAGATTTGGACAAGTTTATATTTGAAGTTATAACGAAAAATTAAATCATTACCTAAGTACTCTTTTACTTGTGTTCTAATATTAGATATTTTAGTTTTAATTGCAGATGTGAATCGCAATGATACGTTCCACTTTAGTCTCGGTCCCCTACTTCTACGATGGACGACCTCCGTTTGTGGGACGACCTCCGTTTGTGGGACCTCAAACGTACATCTTATTGCCAGCCAAACAGAAAAAAGGAAAAAATGACAAACTCATAGCTCATTCTTTCACCTTATGACCGAGCTAGTCAGAAGAATGAACCATGTTCTGACAACTCTACCTGAAAACATGTGCGTCGAGACAACGAACTGTGAAACCTATGAACAAATAAAGTCGTACATGTCTACAGCTACTGATGTAAAATTGCCTTCGTTATAGTTGGATACAAGTAATGATGGACTATCGAAACAAAGCCAAAACTAAAATTTCTAATTCTTATTGTACAGGCCCGGCATGGCCAGGTGGTTAGGGCGCTCGACTCACAATCTGAGGGGCCCGGGTTCGAATCCCCGTCCCACCAAACATGCTCACCTTTCAGCCATGGGGGCGTTATAATGTGACGGTCAATCCCACTATTCGTTGGTGAAAAAAGTAGGCTAAGAGTTGCCGGTGGGTGGTGATGACTAGCTGCTGTCCCTCTAGTCTTACACTGCTGAATTAGGAACGGCTAGCAAAGATAGCCCTCGTGTAGTTCCAAAAACAAACAAACAAACTTATTGTGCAGTATAATAATACGTAACGTTTAGAGCATCAAACTGCATATATAACTAGGTTTCAGGAAATTTATTTTCTGTTATGATCCAGCCTAACTGGTGAGTTTTGCTATTGTACGAAAGGCCTCTTGGGCAGTGACTTGTGGGAGATAAAAGATAGATTAGAAATGCTATTTTTTTTCCACATCTATAATTTTGAATCCGAAATAGATGAATGTGTGCGTGTGGGGGGTCTGCACTTTTAGGTGATTTTTGTCATAGATTTTAAGAAATATATTTTTATTTGTTTTCATTATATGTAAAAAAAAACAAAAAACTGAACGTTTTTCCGTGAAACTGCTTTGAATAAACGTTTCCTTTGTTTTATCATTATATATATGTTAAGCACATAAAAGCACACAGCTCGAGTAGATTTGATCTTTCTCTATCATAATTCTACCCTCTAATGAGCTAAGTATGAATAATATGTGTTGTGGAAAAAACGAAATATGTTACAGAGGCGTGAAAAACAGCACTATAGTTGTAAACTTTATGATAGCACCAATCTAGAACTCCCACCTTATAAGCCACCAGGGCCAATTATACATATGACACAATAAACCCTTTAATTTACTCATTCTACTCTTACAAGATACGCATAAAAAAGCTTCATTGCCAGGATTCCTGAGCATGATTGGTTGAGTCAATGAATCTAGAGTTTTGATGGTTGATATTGCATTTTTGTCCTCATTTAAATAACGAAAACATTGTTGTGTATTTTCTTCATGGTTAACCAGCCAATCAGCGTGCAGTAGTCTTAAAGTTTATTTTAATTTTATTCAAGTTGTAGTTAAGTGACAATAAAGTTCAACTTTAGTTTTCATCAGTTTACATTTGTCTGCTGTAATTTTGTTCAGTTTGTTTTCGTATACTTCAAGGATTTTTGTGTGTTTTTATATGTGTGTGTGTGTATATCTTGCATTGTATATTTATTTTGTCATTTCAACTTTCAGCCAATTTTTTTGCTAATCAAATCACCGATTTTTTGCGAAGTCTAGCTACCTATTGGCTAGTTATTCTTATTAAAAACCCACACATACGGAGAATGGAGTCTAACAACGTAAAAATGTTGTTGTCCATTGTGATAGTTTCCCTTCTTATAACGCAAAAGAGGGGGAAAAGGTTTTATTATTTATTTTTTATTTTTAAAAGATTTCGTTGCCACTTTTCTGAAACATCGAATGAACAAGAACACATTTTGTCTTCAGTAAAATAGAACGATACGTCATAGTTACTAAACCAAAGACTTTAAACACATACAAAATTCATTAAATTAACAAATATTGGCTCGTTTAAAATGTCCACGAGAACCTCCAATGCAGCCACCAACAAAGATATTTTTGGCAAGAAATGTGTCTCGCTTCAAGATTATGTTCCGTTAACGAGCTTATAATTGCTCGACTTAGTTCCAATTCTACTCACTACGAGCTCTTCTTACTTACTAGGCATTTCAAATACCCTAGAGGAAAAAAACACCGAAATAAAAGTGTAATAAACTTCTGTAAAATAGCGACAGGAGGGACTGTAAGAAGAAAGCGAGCTTGTAACGTTGTCCAAACTTGTGGAATGTCTTTTTCTGACAAGAGGAAGAAAAGTAGTGCAACGTTTTGTCGTTTAGGATGACTTTAAGCAAAGAACTTCCAAGCCTTGATGTAATTCAGCTTTACGTCATTCCAACACCTTTAGCGTCTTCAATTTCATAGTCCTAAAAACCGATTTCTCAGCTTATAAGGGATGCCAAGAAACATTTGATCGTAATCGGCACACACATTCAGCGAAATGAAGCTTGAGGAAAGTGTTTTGAACTCTTAGTAAGAGGTTAAACTTCTATACATATTCATTGTCTTATAACCGACATACACACATTCAGCGAAATGAAGCTTGAGGAAAGTGTTTTGAACTCTTAGTAAGAGGTTAAACTTCTATACATATTCATTGTCTTATAACCGACATACACACATTCAGCGAAATGAAGCTTGAGGAAAGTGTTTTGAACTCTTAGTAAGAGGTTAAACTTCTATACATATCTTTGTGAGCACATTCTTTGTCTTATAACCGACATACACACATTCAGCGAAAAGAAGCATGAGTAAAGTGTTTTGAACTGTTAGTAAGAAGTTAAACTTCTATACACATTCTTTGTCTTATAACCGACATACACACATTCAGCGAAATGAAGCTTGAGGAAAGTGTTTTGAACTGTCAAAATAAAGTAGTTTTTTTAGCATCATTTTTGATCCTCAATTGAACACCATGAATTTATTTCGGCGACTTTGAAAAGAAATAAAACATGTCAAGAATTTACGAAAAATACACTGACAAAGATGTTTATAGAAGTTTAACCTCAAACTATGACGTAGTCAAACATATTTTGTTTTTTTCGACGAAATATGATAAACCTCTGAAAGTGTTGATGTATGTAGTACATAATAGTATTATACCTCGTTTTCACAGAACTACCTATCCTTTAGAATTAAAGCACATCTTAAATTATTAGCCCTTATTATTTTTTAGATAAAACTTAACAATTTAAAAATCAATTTTAATTAGTTAGTCCACATAAGCACGTGGCCTCGTGATATTATATTACATGTTATATTCCTATAGAGGGAAACAGGAATATATATAGCAATTACAGGTATTTTGTATAATCGAGTTCTTCTTATCTTTTTAGACAAGATATGTGTTTTCCTCACAAAAAAGTAGTTCAAACTGTTGAATGTAACTCCAACGAAAAAATATTCATTTCAATTTGTTTGTTTTTCATGAATCTATCAACACGATAAAAAACTTAAAGGCTATTTGTGCACAGGCCTATAGACTTTCGAGAACTTAAAAAATAAAATTACCTTTGTTACTAGACTTAACTATCTATTTATCTGTCTACTTCCTCATTAAGGCTTCTATTTAACTGTTTTAAAAGTGAACTCTAATTATGTAATATTTTACGTCCCTGAAATTGACAAGAAGAAATTGAGTGTGATAGAACAACTCAATTACGTTTTCCGTCGAACGATGTACCGTTCTTACGTATCATTCATTTATCTGTCTAGACAATGTAAGCTTTCACATGTAGGTTAACAAACATGCACAAACATTAACTGGAAACGTAAGTTTATCAACTAGCGAAACAGTGTAATCAAGGTGACAAAACATATTACACTCGTTTTTCACACACTGATCAGACAACTAACAATATTAGTATTGATAACAAAAGTCACCATGGTGACTGTAGTGAATAACGTTCTAAGGATTCACTGCAGTATAACTAATCAAGGTTATATTAATCTTGAATAAATAAACTTTAGAATGTGATAGGTTGGCTAAAATTAGGCTTAACTGGCTAATGTTAAAGACAGTTTAAATGTGAACTTCAATAAGGTCTTTCAAATGACATCTACAAAACAACTTAATAGATTTATTAAAGTACTTTATCGCATGAATTTTTGATAATTATATCAAATTTCAACCCACTTCTTTCAGATTAACATCACAAATACTTGATTATTTAAACAAACATTCTTTCGCGTGAGTAATGACATCGCTGTTTCACCGAATACTTGTTGAATTAATCCTTATTACAGCCTCAACGAAGAATTTAGCGTACGATTTCTTATCGATATTTTTAGAATCAGGCGTGTTTAGTTTCGATTGAGTCATTCTATGTATGTATATTTTTTTATTATACTCTAGCCTCCAGTTTGATTCGCCCCCCCCCCTTCCCCAGTGGCACAGCGGTATGTCTGCGGACTTACAACGCTAGAAACCGAGTTTCGATACTCGAGGTGGGCAGAGCATAAATAGCCCTTTGTGTAGCTTTGCGCTTACCTACAAACAAACCAATTTGATTCCGAATCAAATAGAACAGTTTCACTCTAAATCATATGGATTGTTTTCAATTTCCTAAGGTATTATTATTAAAAATTACTTGGTGGCACCATTTGCGTTCAGCATTTATATATTGTGTGACTGTTGTTTGTTCAATTTCGCGCAAAACCCCTCGAGGGCTATCTGCGCTAGTCTCACTTTTCTAATTTTGAAGTGATAGACTAAAGGTAAGGTAGCTAGTCAACACCGCCAAATTTTGAGCTACTCTAATCAAATAGTGGGAATTGACCGTCACACTTATAATGCATCCACGGAGGACTATTTTCTTTTATTGTTGTTTTTCATTGGCGGTAACTAGACGAGAACCACAGAACTTTTGCTCCATAATCCGGCACACTAACCACTTCTGCTCCATAATCCGGCACACTTACCACTTTTGATCCATATTCCGGCACACTTACTACCTTTGATCCATAATCCGGCACACTTACCACTTTTGATCTATAAATCCGGCACACTAACCACTTTTGATCCATAACCCGGTACACTTACCACTTTTGATCCATAATCCGGCACACTAACCACTTTTGATACATAATCAGGCACACTTACCACTTTTGATCCATAATCCGGCACACTTACCACTATGGTGCATATGTAAAAAATAATAATAACAAACTGTAGTGCATATATTATTTTTTCATTTAACAGCATTGTAATTACTCCCCTTTTTATGATAATAGGCACTGAGCAATCGGAGCTAGGTGACACGGTTATTATTTCAACAGGCTATGAGGTTAGAAGATAAAGGTCAAATATATATATTGTGTACCTCAGAAGTGTTTAGTGTATTAAATTTATCTTTGACGTTTTCAAAAGTTAAACTGCTAAAGACATTGTGTTTATTTACATACATATAGACTCGTTATATTATTAGTTTTTAATTTTTTGATTACCATTACCATTTCAATTTGACTTTATTTACGAGCAACACTATAATGGACAAAGAACTAGTGGAGCGATATATATATATATATATATATAAATGTACGACTTTGAAAACTAAACTTTAAATGTACAGGTACGGACACTAAACGTTCAGAGTTATACTAAATACTACGTCCAAAATATCTACTTAATTATTTTCTTATAGTCGAACGCTTGTACTTTTTATATGTACGTCCGTAAGGTTTTTAGTAACCTTATACATTGTTCAACTGTTTACACATTGATAAATTAAGGTAGTATTCGAACGGGGTTCGTTTCAAACGACCTCAGTTCAGTTTGTTTGCTCTGATGAATGTCTTAAGTTGTTCACGTTTGCCTTGTATATAAACGTGCCGACTTCGTTTAGAAATGATTTATATTTCATGTTCATGGTTCACTTACATGTTTTGTCAGCATTCACCGTGACCTTCCAATGGTCACACTAAAGTTTTTTCAAGGGGAAAAATTCGGTTCTTTTACCAAACGGGCGACCTTTTCTGGTGGACTTAGTTCGGTTCGGTTTGTTTACCGTTCCTCACACTGTTCTTCAAACGAACCGTACTGGGTACGGAAGAAAAAAAGCCCCACTTTGAACAGGACCGAATAGTCAGAATATTTCTGCATCATTGCTGATGCTTGATGTCAATAAAGACGTATTCAAAATAATGATAATAAGTAAAATAATGAATAATATTCACCGAATAAAGAAGCATATTGCTTAGGCCTTTTTTATGAGTAGTAAAATTTTTTAAATGAAGCGTGTCATTATTTTCATACCCTTTTCTGATTAGTACATCGACCTAATATATCAATGATATACATCGTCGCAAAAGTAAGTAACCCTACATCCGGGTATCACGTTTTATAAGTATTTTAATAATCCGCTATAGTAACATTAAGACCTATAGTTTATAAACATTGATTGCTTGTTAAAAATCAAATCTATGTGTAAAACAAAAGTAATTATCAAAAAACCAGAATGATTTGAAGAATTGTATCCTAAGATGATCCTCGTGACCGTTAAATTCACACCCACCCACAACTTGATTGACTTTCTACACAGGTATATCTTCTTTTATGTTGCAATAATTCGTGATATGGGCAGAGGTAAAACAAATCATCCACAAAATAGGAATTTCTTTTTAACTCCTGTTTAAAGACGAAAGTCTTAAACAAAACATATATTTAAGTCTTCTAAGCATATTTTGCCGGCCAGAGATTAATGAATAAATTACTAACAGCGCCACTATTTGTTAAAATGACTGATTAACCGAGTGGAAGATCAGCGTTGTTACGTACCTACAAATGACGTTTCGCCTAAATATCCTCTTCGAAATAGTTTAATTTTCAAGTATTTCTCCGTTTCATTGATCTTGTAAGTGTCGTATTCCAGGGATATCCAAGCCCAATGTAATCGAAAATCCTGATCCAGTAGTTCGTTTGATCCTATGGTATGAAAATTAAGTAGTTGTGTTAATATGAGTATTTTTAAACAAAGTAATATAATCACTTACATTTTGAAACAAACATCAACAAATTATTAGGACAATAAATTAGCTTAAGTACAGTGTTAGTTGAAATCTCACTTGTAGCTTATTTACTAATACAATAAGAATCATATTTGGTTAATGTTAGATGGTAAAAATTATTTTTGGTTAATGTTAGATGGTAAAAATCATATTTGGTTAATGTTAGATGGTAAAAATCATATTTGGGTAATGTTAGATGGTAAAAGTCATTTTTGGTTAATGCTAGATGGTAAAAATCATATTTGGTTAATGTTAGATGGTAAAAATCATATTTAGGTTAATGTTAGATGGTAAAAATCATATTTGGTTAATGTTAGATGGTAAAAATCATATTTGGTTAATGTTAGATTGTAAAAATCATATTTGGGTAATGTTGGATGGTAAAAATCATATTTGGTTAAAGTTAGATAGTAAAAATTATATTTGGTTAATGTTAGATGGTAAAAATCATATTTGGTTAATGTTAGATGGTAAAAATCATATTTGGGTAATGTTAGATGGTAAAAGTCATTTTTGGTTAATGCTAGATGGTAAAAATCATTTTTGGTTAATGTTAGATGGTAAAAATCATATTTAGTTAATGTTAGATGGTAAAAATCATATTTGGTTAATGTTAGAAGGTAAAAATCATATTTGGTTAATGTTAGATGGTAAAAATCATATTTGGGTAATGTTAGATGGTAAAGAAAGTCAATATTCGATCTCGGCCAAGACACTTTATTTATCAAAAATAATATTTTGAAATTACAAATATTTATTTTCCTACTTCTCCTGTGAAGCACACATCTTTTTATAGTATCCACTATTATTTGTCTTCACCATTTCAAAACCAGATTCGAATCCAACTGTACAGCTCTAGCTCGTTTTGGAGCGCCAAGTGAGGGACAGAAACGGCAGAGTTAGAAATCTCACCACACTTGGATCCGCTTTGCCATATACCAGACGAAATGTGTACGAACGGTTGGCGACAAATGTTCGTAATAGATGCCAGATTCTGAACAAAATTAACTCACTATATATATATGTGTATCTATCTGAAGCCACATATTTTAATCAGGTTTTCAAGCGATCATCGTTTTTTTTTTCTCGTAAATTATAGTTTTCAGTTATTGAAGAAGGTATTTAGAATTGATTAGCATTTTTATACTTTTTTTTTACTCTGCATTTTTTATTATTTCAAGATATTTGTATTGAGAATTTGTAGGAAATCTAGCACCGAATGAAGATCTTAGACACTCCCGTTCGCACATTGATAAACTAAGACAGTTTTCACATTGGGTTTGTTTCAAACGGTCTCAGTTCAGTGAGTTTGCTTTGTTGAATGTGCTAGTTGTTCTCACAAAACCTCCAGAATTGTTAAACCAGAAGAAGTATCCATCATCATCAGAAACGAATGGAAGCTGTACGAATTGCAAGATTTTAAAGAAAAGTGGCTCACTGTGGCAAAACACGGTTGTCAGGGAACAAAGTTCTGAAGAGTAGACCACTTTCGGGGGCATGTACTAGACACAAAATTTCTACTGGAAAGTTTGTCTATCTCATAATGGCTAAAACTCGTAAAGAGTTCCCCGTGCATAGCCCATGAAAATACTGACGCTGAAAGAAGTATCTTTCAAACGGGAAGACTGCGTCATCTGATGAAATATCACTAAGCTCACAATTCGCTAAAACTCTAGTGCATACTGTAAAGAGGAACGAGGGTATTGTTCCATAGTATCGATAACTCTAGGGACGACTGCTGCATGGACTGTACAAGAGCAAACTAGAGAAAGAAAGAAATAGAGGAAGCTAAAGTGTAAAATAAGATGCGAGATGAAACTTCGAAACTCCGGCCTCTACACTCGTGTTTCTACAACAGGCAGTTGCCGTCCATTCAACTAAGTTTCATCATGAATACTCTGCCTAAACAATCAATCAAAGAAGATGCGAGATGCAAATGCCAAGAAAAGAACAGGAAGAAGAGATTAAATTATTCGAGTAAGAAAACTTATCTGTCACAAAAAATGCTTGAGAAATCTTGTTAGGGTCAATAACAACAATTGACGTCAGCTAACACTCTGTTGGTAACAGCAAGTGAAAGTCTTAAGAAAGCCATTAAGACAAAAGACATGGAGGTGGCGCCTATTGTTCATCCAACAAAATAACTAATGCAAAAATGCAACTTGATCAGGACAATGAGGAAAGGAAGAAAACTTAAATCATAAACGAGTTTAATTTATCATCAAAAACAGATTAAACAATAACTCAAACACACATGTGCACTCTCGTACACTCATACTCATACTTCTATTTGTTTTTGTAATGCTGTAGTTTTGGTTAATCACAGGATTTAAAAATGAAACATGCTGTATACGGATACACAGCCTTTTTATTCTACAGGGTGGAAATGGTACCTATAGAAGTATTTTTGCGCCCGTTAAATACACTGTTACTTTAAATGTTTTAATGTGAATTAGACATATTTTAATGTTACATTTAATTTTATGTTCCTTATGTTTTGATTATTCAAAGAAAATATATGCTATATGGTATAGTTTTTAGGTTGTGCGTAAGTGTTGTTGATATTTGGAACAAAACACTCGCACAACGTAAGGTTACATGTTCCTAGTTTTAGTTTTAAAAGTCCTAGTTTTTCAACTTTTTAGACCCAGTTTTTAATTCGTGGTATCTTGAAGCCTAATCTAGTGAATGAAAAGAAGATTAGATATGGTATATAACTTGAATATGAGAAAGTTAAGCTCAGTTGGGTAAGAATGTCAGCGAATAATATAGGTGTCATATTTCCGTGAAAGATTATAAAATATCGAAAAGTTGAGTAAACAGAAACAACAGTCTTGATAAAGAGTTAGTTGGAAGTTTTGTTTTGATGATGTTTTAATACAATAGTCACATCTAGTTCGCTGAGAGTACAAGTCATGCACGCCTACGCCACGAGATTTCTTTATAAGAAAACAAGCAAAAACGAGGTAAATTGCTACTTTAGGAGACAGTAATCGCCTGAAAGACTATTTACTGGGAGTTCTAGAAGATACTTCTGAGACTCAAATTCTGTTAGCTCTACAACTTAACAGAAATTAGTGGCGGTTTTTTAGTAGAGACGCCAGTCTAAACTTCTGACAAAATTCTTAGGTCAAGAATGTTCTTTAGACCCGCAATTTCCAAGATTACCTTTTTCTTGTTCTTTCCCAATTTGTTCTGAACAAAAATATCTGGTTATACTTAACTAATCAATATTAACATTACTTTGTGTTTCTACAATTTACATATTGTAAACGAAATAAGAGGCTGATTTGAGTCTCAAACCAATTGAAATTATTTATGTACAGTAATTGATAGTCAAGAACTTAAATTAATTGTAATCGAACATGCATATAATATAGCCAAAAATTCAAATGAATTGTAATCTGTCATTTAACTCAATGGTCACCACATACTGGGGCCTGTTAGATGGAATTATGGGAGCAGGGGAAGGGGACTCAGCGCATACATAATTACCGGAGAAATCAAATATTTTGAGGGATAATTTTATTTAACGTAATAAATATGACTTCATAACACTGTTTATATTTGACTTGAGTTTTTATATATATATATATATA